CCAGTCAAATATAACTCCTTCCCATTATATTCTATCCCAGTAAAGCTAAGCTGACGTGCCTCTACACACACACACACTTTCTTAAATGCTTCAAATTATATTTTGTAAGTGCCACAACCATAGCAACACTTCCAACCAAATGCTTCCTCTCCGTTAGTGTCCCCTCTTCTTTTGTTTGTTAATGTGCTTGCGCAGTGCCTTTTGCCTTTGTACAAGGCTGCGTTTCCCCTTCGACACCACCTCCCGCTTGTGCACAAGCATCTTAAAGTTCTTGGTCTTGCGCTTCTCCTTATTCGACATTGACCGATTCTCGCCGTCCCGCTTGCCCTTACGCGACCCGTACTTTTCACGGCCCTCACGGCCTGCCTGGATCGACATCATTCGCTCCTCATAGCTCGCCTTTGCGCGCTTACGCGAGTGATACGCCCCGATTATATCTTCGTCGTCCAACACTGCCTTAATCTCGATTGCCACTTTTTCCCCTTCCTCTTCGCTGCCATAGTCTGTGATCTCCGAGGCTGACGCGTCATCCTTCTCCGCCACTCTCTTCTTGCGCTTCTTTGACGACACTTGCTGTTCCTTCAGCTCCGCCTTCCTGCGGCGCTTGAGCTCTTCAATCCTTATAAAGTCCTCTTGGGTCAGGATCCTCGTGGTCTCAATGCGAGAGCGAGCCATTTCGCTTGGCTTTTGCTCTTGTTGGCCCCTTGACTTGGCTGTTCCTTCCTTAGTTTCTTCTTCCTCGTTCTCATCCTCATCATCGCAGCCACTACCATCATCCCCATCTGCCTCACTGTTGCTGTCGTCGTCGTCGTCGTCGCTCCCCTCATCCTCTTGCCCTTCAATGGCACTGGCATATTGCGCCTCATCGCTCGAACCTTCCTCCAGTAGCTCGTCGTCCTCGGTCTTCTCCCCCTCTTCTTCCATTCCTACTACCTCGGTGTCACTATTGTCCACGTCAACGTCGCTCTCATCGGAATACCCATAGATCTCCAAGAGTTCCGCACCGTCGACACCCTCGGCAACCTCCTGCGCACCAAAATTCTCGCCCGTCTCCTTATTGTGAAGCCCAGAAGTCATCATTTGCGTCACCTCCTTGCCTCGCTCGCGCCTGTGCAACATCTCGGGATTGATCTCGCGGAACAATATCATCAGCGATCTCGCCGCCATCATTACACCCTTATCACGATGTTTGCGGTATTGGATCAGATCCGCTAGGAGGTATTGCTCGATGGCGGCTGGCTGGCGCGCCGCAATCGACCGTATTGCGTTGAGACCCGCGGCCATGACCTCCGGCGCGCAGTGATCTGACACAAAGTTGTCAGCGATCGCTCGCACCAGTGGCTGTAACACGTCGGGCGGGACCAGATTGTGCGTGGCTGTCGCCAGCAGCGCGAGGATCGAGGTCACTTCTGGTTGGTGTGGCTGCAGGTAGCGCTGCAAGAACGGGTACAGGTTCAGTACCTGCAGTTGATGGAATCCGATCAGTCGAGCCACGAGTCGCAGAATTAGCAAGCGCAATTCAAAGCGCTGCACGGCCTGCCCACCGCGCTTTGTTTGCGACTGCGCCTGATGCGCCTTTGAAAAGAGCTTTTCGGCGAAACCTACAGGGGGAGGGATGCACAGGTGAGCCTGATAAACAGCGCCGCAGCCGATGAGGACCATCCAAACGCTGAATGGCTCGCTGCATGGTACGTCTCACAACACGCGTCATCCTACCTTGGGGATCGTGGACTTGCTCCAGCGGTCCAAAATCAAAGTTGCTTTTCTTCGCCCTCTCAACCTTTGACTCCTCTTCGCCTTCGTCAAAGTTCTCGCCAAGCTCTGCGCTCCTCTCCTTTTGCTGCTTGCCATATTGCTTGAGTGCCCGCTTGAGTTTGCGTTGATTCGACCTAGTTTTCTTATTAATATGGGCGTGGTGCTGCATCATGCGGATATCGGTCTGGGTCAGCTTTCCCTTCTTTCCGTCCTCGTTATCGGAGCCCGTTGCGTCGGAGTCAGAGTCGCCGCCGCCGCTACCCCGCCTTTTCACTGGGTTTAAAAAGAACTGGATCGCTGTGGCCATGATCTTATTGATCGGCGATAGGCAGGCCTCGGCGATCACGTTGACAGTCCTCGTATCGCACCATATATTTTTGCGGTACAACTCGATACAGACGTCCAGACTACGTTTAGCCGCCACTGCACCTTCGCCGTGCTTGCTTTGAGCGTCCGCGGATGTCACCACCGTGTATAAGAAGTTCTGCACTGTCTTATTAAGCTTAGCATTGCGGTGGCTGCCCCTGTTTGCTGCCTTGATATCGCTGATGATATGATTGTAGAGCGTGTCGCGCAGTACCTTGTCGCGGCAACGAAACATAGTAAAGAACAGCGGGAGGATCCTGTACACATGCAGATTGCCGCAGAGTTGGCATCAGATACAGGGCTACCTTGGTATTTACTGCCTGCGAATGGCCCATAGCTTACTTTGTATTTGGCACTACCCCGCGGTTGCGGAGCAGCACCAGCGCCTGCACCATGGTCCTGCGCAGATCGGGATTGAGAATGGTATGGTGGGTTTGCAACAGCTGCATCAGCTTCTCGGGGAACTCTTGGCATTCCTTGGGGTAGCAATGGTTGACCTATATCACGGAATTCGCATCGGCACTCGTCATTTGGTGCTGGCGGGCGATATATCGCCTTGCGCGACCTGGTATCCCCGTCCAACAGAGATATATACATGAGGCGGGTGGCGGTGCTTTTTACCTGGGCTAGGAATGTGACGAGCTCACCTAGCTCTTTCGATTCTTCTTCGGGCTTTATCTGGAATATTGTCAGCGATGCCTCAAAGTGCTGATACTGCTGGAGGAACTCTTCTCGGTAAGACACGGGGTCTCGTTTAATAAGATTCTGCAGCTGGGGGAGGTTCAGTGCCAGCAGGGCACCCTTGGGCTGCTTAACAACCATGATGGTGCTCGTCGGTTGGTATGCTAGAGATTGGGGCGAGGCGACAGAAGCTAAGCTGCAATAAAGAAGGAATATAGAGAAACAGGACCTGGACACAAAGAATCAACCTAAAAAATTGTTGCCTTTGGCAGCGAAAATCACGCCAATGTGATTAAATCACGGCAGTATTGAAAAGCAAAAGAAAGCGCCCTATGCGAGACTCGAACTCGCGACCCTGGGATTAAAAGTCCCATGCTCTAACCAACTGAGCTAACAGGGCCCATACGAAAGTGCTCGAAAAAATCTATTTAAGTTGAACTTCAGAAGCGTCGAAGTTAATCTCTTAATGATGAGCTATGAACATACCCCCACTTATTCAACATTTTGCAAGAAAAACCAGAAAGGCAAAATAAGAGACCCGCAATTAAGCCAGCCTCATGTTGGTCCCTGTTTGCTATGACGTCACTAGACTGTTACCGTAGCAGTGTGCGTCCCCTTGCAAGAGGGGGACGGATGGACATAAAAGTATAGCGATGCACTGACATTCATCTATGAGCTAATCGGTGCTGATGGGCTATTGTGCATTTATTTGGGACTAACATATCAGTTCTTCAACTGGTTTGACCTTGAGCGCTGGTAGCGACACGGATTTTCTGCTGATGCCGCCAACAAGGGCGATACAATAATACACTAAAAACATTGGAAAACCCATTACATCCCTGTGCTACACCGCTCAGTATCCTTAAGTGGGAGCCACCGCACCCATAATCTCGTATTGGTGCCACCCAAAATCATCAGCACCTGCAACTATAACTACTTGAAAGGCTGGTACTATAGGGTGACGCTTGCCGCTGGAGGTAACCCTAATCCTGTTACCAATGAGTGAGGAGCCAAGTGTATATGTGCCTCGTGCACGCCAAGCCCGGCCAACGACGTCCGGAAGGCCGAGGCGTCGACCATTATCGAACATAATTGATGGCGTGAGCCGGTCGCACAGCGAATGGGTAAGACAATGATGCAGCTGGGCTCATGTAACTGGGCTACGTGCTTGCTTTGCGCAATAAGATGACATTCCGAAACTCCCTTGTCGATGGGCATAGGATGACCTGCGTACAGGAATGGCGGAGGTCCCCCGCAACAACTGGATCGAGTCAAGGTGTGTCTTCATATTTATGTCGATGTCGACTGTGAGACAGTACGGCGCACTGGCTGAACCTAACGAGTGGCCTTCCCTGGACGCAGAGATATGGCGGCGAATGCCAGCGAGTATTTTGAGATAGCAAGCGACTGGACAGGCAGGGCAATCACGATTTCTGCAGTGGCCGTCCATCAGCTTGGGGCCATGTCGAGTATGCTTTGCCGTAGTGGTGGCAGGGTCGGGCTAATATTTGCTTCAGAGCCGGGACCCGATGAGCCAAACGGTGGCCTGTATGTCGACAGGGTGGTAGTGTTTGACCGTGAACATCAGCCAAATATGGCCGTGCCCGGCGAAGTCGCGATCCCAGTAAGTTCTAACAACGCTGGAGTCGCGAAAGAACAGCCGGGCGAAATACTCCTCCATTGCGAGTGAGTGCGTGTGCGGTATCCTAACAACCGGCGGTGGGGGGGAATTTATAACGACTAATGGTAGATCATTGACGGGAAGCTGGACAAAGACGATTTGCAAGCTGTGATTGAG